AAGCCCCAATTAAACCCCAATTGGGTGAGGATGACATATGTTGAATCTATCTAATTTTTTTGGTCCCTCTTACACTAGCCACATTGAAAAATAAAAATTCTTTTATTATACGATTTCCTTTGCCCTTATTAGTTCATTATAAATTTTTGATGGTAACTAGGGTGAGTTATTTCAGGTAAAAAATCTATAAATTGCAATAGTTTTTTTGTTTATTATAAATTTGTCATTTTTTATACAGTATAAAAAGACATAATAACATTATCTTTTTTTAATTTTTATGTATAATTAATGTTTCAACTAGGTCAAATTAAATAGATTATTTATCTGAAATAGTTCATAACGGGCTTATAAAGCAGAATAAATGACAAATAGTCTTTTATCACCAAAAAATATCTCCTAGGATATGAAAAATTCACTCCTTTATTAGGTGCATTATATTATCTTTTACTGAGATAAATACAAGAAATAGATGCCGTAAACATATTCAAGTCCTCAGTACTCTTGCCTGGAAATATTTCGGAGTTACTGGATATACAGTATATAAACTGATTGGTGTTTTCTAAAAAAATATAATAAAGAAATCAATTCGACGCGACGTTATTTAATTAAATACAATCTGTATTATTAAACATTATTTAGGCAGAATAGATCCCAAATCAACATAGTTATAAAAAAAGAACTATTGTTAAAATGTATCTCAATATATTAATTCACAAGAGCAGGATGAATTCTAACAGTGTTATATTACGCCGAAGTAAAATTTAATACTGAATGTATGGTATAATATTTTAGACAAATGAATATTCGATAGGAGACCAAATAGACTATGTAAAAAATACAACAGTATTTATAGATTTCTGGTAGTGTTATTAAACATTGCATATCTTCTATCTCCTACTCCTGCAGTATCACGAAAGCACAAAGCTGTGTCCATTTCATACTGGATCAACCATCGACCCGAGACGAAAATTTGATTTGCACGAATCGTACTTGCCGAAAAGCTATTAACGAGAGTAAAAACAAATTTAGCATTAAATCAAAATCAAACTGTCAAGGACCTCAAGAATATTTACTCCGCGGAGAAAGAATTAATCTTATTTTCAAGAGCCTGGGTTTTAATTTTATTCGCAGCGAGGTCATTTTCTAATGCCTGCATTTTAGTTTGACTCGCGGCGAGGTCATTCTCTAGAGTTTGTATCTTAGTCTTACTCGCATCGAGTTCTTTCTCTAGTGCCCGCATTCTATCATCATCGGCATCAATTTTATCTCTTATTGCCCTTACAAGTTCTGACGACATTCTTTCCTATGGGTCTTTTGTATAGTACAGTAAATATTTTTTATAAAGGGCTGAACAAATTACTTTTTAACTAACTAATTAGGTGGCTTTTTCAATCAACTTATAAATACGCATGATGCATCTATGTATATTCATGCCAAATGGAATTTTATTAAAGCGGATCGTTGGTTACAGTACAGTACTAGGTGTCCTGATTTATTTGATCAAAATACGTAATGCGAATTGTGCATTGCATCACGTGATAAATTTTCTTTTAATTATCATGAGTGACCAGAGGCTCAATAACCGTGTAAAATAAGGATTAAAGCATAAATTTGAATTCGTTCATTCATACAAATAAACTTTATCTGAATCCTCAATGTTTAACAAAGTCAACTTCATCGTTAATTAACACGTGTGTACACTATACACTCACTGAATTTATTCTAAAACTATCCTTTACAAAAGTAAAATTTTTATTCTCTAAACCTTTGCTACTTGTATTACGGACTCTAATATGGTTAATAAATTATTACATTATTTATATCTTTTATTAATACCATAACCGCTATTTAAATCCTTTCTTATATAAAAATGGTATAAATTATAAATATGAATATATATTGTAACGGTGTAACGGCGAGTCAGTCGCTAACTCTGGCAGAGATTCGCGTAACCGTTAGCAGGTAAGTAAATGAAAGGGTGATTTGAGGCGTGTTTGTATTTGACCGAGTCTTTATTGATTTTCTCACTGATTTTCTTTTCTCGCTTTCTTACATTTCACATTCTTTTATACTTCTCTTTCTTTACATTTGGCTATGGCGGTTTGGGCATAGGATAATAAGCTATGTACAATGACGAGGCTTTAAAGCTATCTTACATAATTCTCTCGTCAATTTCTTTCGTCACTCGTTATTATTAATTATTACAGCCGACTTACCATTATCACGACGATTGGTCACGTGACTAACGTCGCGTCCATCATTTCTCCCTGTTACAATATCTTTTTGAATTAATTTGTTTGTTTTTTTTGACATACAATATTGTTAATTATGACAAGAATTAATTATACTTATTTTATAACGTAGCATAAAAGTATTTAATCGATATATTGTACGTATACGGAAGTGTGTAAATTTAACGGATATCAATCTACATGACTTTATTATTGAATTAGATTGTCTTCTCCGATTACAAACACAACAATAACATTATAAACAATCAAAACCTATCTTATTTTATTAATTAAATTATAGTTGTTTACTAAAGTTTATACAGTGGTACCCAAAATTATTTGGAATTTTTCTCAATATGTACAACTCAGTAAAAATTTATTTAAATTAAATACAAATTTAAATATAAATACATGAATACTATAAAATTACTTTTATTTATAACTAGTTTATAGATTATATTATT